GTGGTCGAGATTAAAGGCCAAAGTGACTCGCACACACGGCAGGTAAAGAGGGGCGGGGCGGGTCACACCTCCGCAGGATTACCGCCAACGAGCCTCGCCGTCAAAAATAGTTCAAAAATAGACGCAGTGTGACGTTATCACGGCCTCGGTAGGGTGAAATGACAGCACGACTTTCGGCATGGATTACGATCAACACTTGCTAAAAGTGATACTGCTTGGTTTCCAAGCAAATGCGGTAATTTTCAAGCAAGAAGGGCTTGAAAAATTACCACATTTCCTTGGGAGCCAATCAGTTACTTTTAGCATGCAAAGCTTGGCGAAAAAAAACCCTTGCAACTATAACTTTTAGCTTTAGTTTTAATGGACTTTCGAAAAGTACTAACGGAAGACGGAGACTAGCTTCTGTTCCTCTTTTGCTAATAATTGTGTGCCATAAGCCATAAGTGTGTGAATGTCGCACACTTTGTAGATGTGTGAAATGACAGTCCAACACGTGGAGGCACAAAGTGTGTGAATTTGAAAGGAAAATTCACACAATTTCTCCCTGAAAGTGCACGAGTGCGGGTATTCACTCACCAACAAGTGTGCCAATGGTCATTCACACATCTAAAAGTGCACAAGTAGGCATTCACACACCTACAAGTGTTCGACATTCACACCTTTAGCGTTGGTCCCACCAGGCCACCGGAGGAGGCCAGAGAGGCACGCGACCATACGACCGAGAGGTTGATACCCGCCAAGTCCTTCACAAGCCAAGGTCGGCGTTCGTTTTGGAATTCCTCTGACCATCCGCGCCGCCGCCAACCGGGCAAATATGCCAATCGTTACCACACCAAGCGGACGCTAGGTCGGCGCCCACCCAGCCATTCAAATCGAGCTGGAAGTTGAAAGGAAAAAAAAGATAAAAAAAACTGGAAATCCAGGAGCGAGTGTGTAGCGCGCTCTTCGGAAGTTGAGAATTGTGGTTTAAATTCTCTCGCTAGGACGATGTTCGTTTTCATCGCTCAATTATACAGCGAGTTTTTAACACAATTGCGTTGAGCATAATTTTGCTAAATTACCAGTTTTATCGGTGGCTTTTTGAGCCTCTCAATAACACACAAAACACGCGAGTTTCTCCTTCTGCACGTGGGGTTGTTTTGATAGAATCCGTCCCTAATATTCGACTCATTCACAGCACCCAGGTAACGAAACACACACGCAAAAGAAAACAGGGAATAACATTTCATGCAACTTCCTCTGAAAACAACAGACATTTCCATGAAAACGGCCCGGCAAACACGTATTCTTAATTAATTTATTTTTTGGGCGTGACGCACAGGGGCGTGACACGCTACCGGCGTAGTTTCGGACATCAAATCACAATCTCGTACATGATCAGCTCAACGCAATGGCGGGTGCAACAGGCGGTGGCTCGAGTGCCTGTAGGTCCTGTATGTGCAGTAATGGCGACTGCAAGAGCCGCCCAAGACTTGTTGGGTGTACACCTGATGGTCTCTGTTTAGCACAGTCAGCTGAGCTGATGCTGCGATGACCGTGGGGTTGGTACAGTGCACACGGCGAACACCGGACGAGCGCCCACACCTTCTGCCAAGGGAGTGGCCAACCACCAGAGAGTGCGTGCACTGGGCAGG